CGCCCGGGCGGAAGTGGGGCGCGCGGGGTACCTGGGCACCATGAGTGATATCCGCCACTCGCTGCTGCGCCGCGACGCGCTGAGCGCCGCCAAGGAGGTGCTGTACCATCTGGACATCTACTTCAGCAGCCAGCTGCAGAGCGGGCCGCTGCCCATCGTGGACAAGGGCCCTGTGGAGCTGCTGGAGGAGTTCGTGTTCCAGGTGCCCAAGGAGCGCGGCGCGCAGCCCAAGGTACCTGTCCCGGCCGTGCCCTTCCCCTGGATGACAGGCGCTCGCCCAGCCCCTCGGTTCTTGCCCCGGGTTTTGTTCCTGCAGCAGTCCCCCATTCCCCTGCCCGGCAGTCTTGTGGCATTGCCCAACCTAGTGTCTAGTTTGCAGGCTGTGACAGCTGCGACCCAGTGTTGTTCAAGGAGAAGACTTTGGGGGCTGTCCACTTATCTCATTAAAGCCCTGTTTTCTAGAATTCTAAACCATGTGGGCTATCCTGTCTGTATGCTCCAGGGTGATACCTAATGACTTTTTCCTGAGTTTAATCTCATCATTCTACTCCCTGGGACCTGGGTTTCTGGAAAGCATCCCGGGGAACATAATATATTCCCTAACTTCTTACTGTGTGAACAAACAAGCACGTGAATGCCACATTTCTCATAGTTTTTTTCCTGGATTTGTTTTACAGAGACTGAATTCACTGCAGGAGCTTCAGCTTCTTGAAATCATGTGCAATTATTTCCAGGAGCAAACCAAGGACTCTGTGCGGCAGATTATTTTCTCATCGCTTTTCAGTCCTCAGGGGAACAAAGCTGATGACAGTAGAATGAGCTTGTTGGGAAAGCTGGTCTCCATGGCTGTGGCTGTGTGTCGAATCCCGGTGTTGGAGTGTGCAGCCTCATGGCTCCAGGTACTGCTCTGGAAATAGCCTTCCTCCCGAAGTCTCTGAAGATGAGTTTACTTCATAAATGTTCATTTAATTGGATTTCTTGAGGAGGCCTTTTCCACATGTATTGTAGAATGTCCTTTATCATTGCTACCCTGTGTACTGATACCCGTATTCCAGTCCCATTTTTATGTACAGAGCATTATAATTCTTGAGGGCATGTTTTGGCTTAATTTGTTACTGGGGATTGAACCAAGGAACTTTACGCTGAGCTACATCTCTAGCCCCATCTTTTTTTTTTTTTTTTTTTTTTTTTTTTTTTTTTTTTTTAAAAAAAAATTTTTTTTTTTTTTTTTTTTGGTTTAATTGTGAGAGGGGGTCTTGCTAAATCCAGAGTGCTGAGATTACAGATGTGTGCTGCCAGGCCCACATAAATTAAGTTTTTAAAACAAAATGTTACATCTTCAGACCAAGTGAAAAATCTTCTGGGGGAAAATAAGGTAGGATTTTGAAAACTATGTATGCAGTCTTAAAGATGAGATTTTAAAAGTCATTATATATTATATAAGTTATAGCAATGCTTACCTGTTATTAGAGGGTTGTTCTCTATACATTTAGATCCGTAAGCATGTGTTATCTCATATAGTTCCAAAGTGATATCATGCAGTTGATAACTTAATGAATATAGTGAAGGAAAAAGTATATATTTACAATAAATTTAGTGTTAGGAAGTATTTTAGAGGATTCATTTTGTTTTGTTTCTGTGGTACTCTACTTTTATTTTTTTTAATAAATTTTATTGTGTCCCACCACTCCCCTCCCAAGTGCTACTCTACTTTTAGAGTGATTGTTGACCAAAAATTTGTGTGAATGTGTTCCTTAGCCAAGCTACCAGAATGTACTACATTCAGTTTCATAAAGCTCCTTTATTTCCAAGTACTTGAAATCTTTTCTTTCCCAATTTAATTAAATGTTGTTTAAAAAATAATTTTGCTTATCCATAAAATTTGGCCAGCAAAAACATACTGTTAGGTGTAGTGTGCAAGTAAGTCACAGTGAAACATATACCTTAATTTTTCTCAATTCAATTTGTGCTCTGGAGCTACAGCTTCCTTAGCAACTGGTGAATGTGGCCTGAGCAAATGATAGGCTGGTATATACAGGGGAAGAGAAGGTATATACAGAGGAAGGTGAGGATATAGGATTCAAAAGTATTAGAGGAACCTGTCAAAGAGAATAGGGCTGTAAGAGGAATTTGGAAAGTGCCTCTCAACAAAAACATTTTCCTCAGAATCTCTTCAAAGTGGTAGCAGCTGTTAATTTTTTTTGTTTTTGGTTTTGGTTTTGGTTTTGGTTTTGGTTTTTGGCGACAGGGTCTCACTATGTAGTTCAGACTGCTCTGGAGCATTGTGTGGCCCAGGTTGGTCTTGAACTTGCAGCGATCTTCCTGCCTCAGCCTCCTGAGTGCTGGGATTATAGGCGTGCGCCACCACACCCAGCGCAGCTGTTAATTTTTAATCTGTTAGTGTCTCACCTGGAATCCTGTAGGGTTACAAAAGTTGTCATTTTCTCACCTGAAGTCAGAAATCATCTTTCCTAAGTAAACTTCAAAGCCAGGATTGGCAGACTCTATGTAAATATTTTAGTCTTTGCAAGCCATGGAATCTCTTGCATCTACTCAAATTTGCCCTCACAGTGCAAGAGCAGCTTTAGACAGCAGGCAAGCAAGTGAGCCCACCGTGTCTCCATGAAACTATTCCGAGAGGCAGGAGGTGGAATGGATTTGGTCTGTGGGCTTTAGATTGCTGGCTCCTGCTTCAAAGGAAGCTGTTAGCATCCTTCTGCACTCTGGAAAGTAGCTATGCCAGTTCTGGTGGTCCTCACTGTCTATAGTTGCTACCTGCTAACTCATGATACCTGTAGTTACATGGCTTATGGCTTTTTTCCAGCGAACACCTGTGGTCTACTGTGTGCGGCTCGCCAGGGCCCTGGTGGATGACTACTGCTGTTTGGTGCCAGGCTCTGTTCAGACCCTGAAGCAGATATTCAGCGCCAGCCCTCGCTTCTGCTGCCAGTTCATAACATCCGTCACTGCGCTGTATGACCTGTCATCAGGTAAAAGAGAAACGTGATGTAGCCATCAAAAAAGCTTCAGCTGATGGCTGGTCTTAGTTCCCAGTGAGTGCTTTGGCCCTTTTTCTTTATTTTTGGCCTAAAGGTAAATGTGTGGGCAGCTGGACCTGTGCAGTTTGCCAAGAGGGAAATTTTCTTAGTGTCCCCAGTTGCCTGAGTTGCAATGGTGTAAGTGGCAAATAGCCCAAAAAGCCAGGTTGGAGTCTGGTGAGATGTGGCCTTCTCCTCAGAAATATGACTTCTTTTTTATCTCCCACTTTTTATTTTGAAAAAATCCAGAAAAGTTACAATAGTACAATAACCACTCATATACTTTCCAGCTAGATTGAACCTACGTACACACTGAGCTATACCCCTAGCCCTTTTTTTAAAAAAGCAATATTTTATTTTGAGATAGGATTTCTCCATATTACCAAGTTGCCTATGCTGGGCTCAAATTTGTGACCCTCCTCCCTCATCCTCCCAGAGTGCTGAGATTATAGGCATGTACCACAACACCCAGCTCTGGTGAGCAGCTTTGTATACAGAAGCTGGCTCAAAGTTTGATTTTTTTGTTTGTATTTCAAGTTCCTCTACTCTTGCTGCACAGAGGACTGACGAATAATTTAATTCTTCTAGCAGTGTGAGAGCCTGCAATGACATTTCTGTTTACATTTTCTGTTCAGCTCAGTATTGGTCTCTGCCAGCCCTCTGACTGTATTTGAGCCTTTGTAATCTTTTTTCTTGCTGTTAACTTTTTAGCTCTTGAGAAAGTTTGTGTGGCAATAGTGTGGACATGCAAGCACATACCATATCCCCACACTAGTCCCACACTCTCTTGTAGAGCACTTTGTCACTGGGGTAGGAGGCAGCTCTTGTGGAGCAGTGCCACCCTCCTAACAAGAAATCATCCCTGGTCTCCTGCAGGGTTTCTTGAGAATGCTTATTACCTGGGTCCTGTGTTCAGGCCTGTGGTTTTCTTATAGGAAAGATTTAACTGAACCCAGTTCATAGCATTATAGTTGATTTTCAGATCATCACTTGTTGCAGGCCAACAAAACAGAAGTTGGCCTTGACATTGGGAATGGATACATTAGTATGTGGAACAGAAAATAATGTTTGAGATGACTGCTGACATGCAGAGTGTATCTGAAACATTGTGTTTTTCTCATAAGCTGGTGTGTGTCAGTTGTTAGTGATTCCCCAAGCCACTGGCGCATGGTGGTGATCTGGGAGGGACAGGCCTAAAACCACTGTCAGAAGAGTGATGGAAGCTATCCTTCTGGTAATGAGAGCACCTGGGTGAGTCCACACCTTCATCGCAAAAGGAAGACACCTCATCCTGCAGTGTCCTCCTGCCTAAGTGGTACAGAGAACTCTGGTCTCATTTCCTAAGTGAAGGAGTCACACACCCATTGCACATGCTTAATTGTGTGCCTGAGTTCAGGCTTTTGGAGAGGCCTTTGCTCAGACCTGGGGTATACTATGGAGCTGTGGGTGTGAGCCTGGTGTTGCCTACACAGAAACATCTGTAGATTTTAAGAGTCTGGATGCACAATTGCCAAGTGAGGGTTATAGACAAATGCTGCTACCTGCTGCTGCTGTCACCTCACATCAGCAATGGCAGTGTCTTAAGAGCAAATGGTCAGCAGGAACGATCTTGAGGCAAGACCCACTACAGGAGATAGAGCAGCCAGCAACCTTCCTCCATCATGTGCCTGGCTTCCCACACTGTCCTCTTCCGTGTTTGGCTTTGAAAGAGTACTGTCATCCTTATCTTCCCTGCAAACTGGGGGTGCACTGCCCCAGAAGTGACTGGGGACACAGCCAGCCTGTAAGCTTGGCATGCCAACCCCAGGATGGGTGATGTGGCCTGGTGGTCTAAGAGCCAGGCTCCTTTAGGTCAGACCTGAGCTTGCCATGTACTCCTGATGTGTCCTAGGAAATTATCTAGCATCATTATACCCATTTCCTCATCCTCTGGGAATAATTGATGGAGCTATGTCAGGATTTAATGCATTTGTCTGTGAAAAGGACTGAGACCAGAGTCCAACATAGGAAGTTCAGCATCAGTATCAACATTCATCCTCATTATTTTCTCTCTCTAAACCCTGGAGCTTGCCAGGTCTCAGGGATCACAGGCAATCAAGCTGTTGCTTAGACCAGAGTTCTGGCTTTGGGGCTGGGATGGTTGTTGGCAGTGGAAAGATGGCTGGCAGGACAATTTTTTCAAAGCATGGTGGAGTACTAAGGAATTATTAACCTAACAGTTACTTTTCTGAGTCTCTACTTTGGGCAGAGGCTCCTGGACACCAGGGATGTAACATTTACTAAGCCTTCATGGGGTGGATGTTCTAGCAAACAAGACAGAAAATAGGCGAGGCAGTAGTGATCTGAGTGGTATTTTTCTTAAGGCATAATTCCCCTACAGTGCAGTGCATGGGGTAAGTGTAAAGTTAGATGTGTTTTGACAGATGTATACATTCATGGAACTGCTGCCCAATCAAGGCAGGAATGCTGTGAACTTGAGGATCTGTCTTCCTTTATCCACTTCTCCCTTCTGTCCTTAAGACCAAGAACGCTTCTGACTGAATGGTCTTTGTTTGCAGATGATCTCATCCCACCTTTGGATTTACTTGAAATGATTGTCAGCTGGATTTTTGAGGATCCACGGTTGATTCTTATCACTTTTTTAAATACTCCGATTGCAGCCAATCTCCCAATAGGATTTTTAGAGCTCACCCCACTCATTGGATTGATCCGCTGGTGCGTGAAGGCCCCCCTGGCTTACAAAAGAAAGAAGAAGCCCTGTTTGTCGAATGGCCACATCAGTAATAAGGTCACAAAGGACTCAGGTGTCGGGATGGACAGAGACTCCCATGTCTTGTACTCCAAACTCCACCTCAGTGTCCTGCAGGTTCTCATGACACTACAGCTGCACTTGACTGAGAAGAATCTGTATGGGCGTCTGGGGCTGATCCTGTTTGACCACATGGTCCCGCTGGTAGAGGAGATCAACAGACTTGCGGATGAACTGAACCCCCTCAATGCTTCCTCAGAGATAGAGCTCTCGCTGGACCGGCTGGCACAGGCTTTGCAGGTAGCCATGGCCTCAGGAGCCCTGCTGTGCACAAGAGGTGAGTACTTCCCTGCCAGGCCTCCCAGGAGTGGTGGCAACACTGCCTAGGCAGAGAGAAAATAGGAACTCCTAGACAGACATTGGTTTTTATTCTTTTAGGACTTCTTTCCTTCTGTAAATGCAGGGGATGAGGGTGGAGATCTCAGTTTGTCCCCTAGTGGTGCCCCCTCACCCTGCTGTCCCTATCACAATCCTCATGTGCCGTCAGTGTGCTATCTGAACATCACCTGGCTCTTCTGGCTTAGGACTGGGAACTGGGCATGAGGAATCTTTTTTTCCTGCGGTCCCTTTTTCTTAAGGCATAATTCCCCTACAGTGTAATGTATGGAGTAAGTGTAAAGTTAGATGTGTTTTGACAGTTGTATACATTCATGAAACTGCTGTCCAGTGAAGACATGCTCCCATTGCCTGTTCTGAAGGTTCTGTCATTCTCCTGCATTTCAGTCCTTGAGTCTGTCTGAGGAGTGGCCTGGTGCCAGAAATCCACTCTTCTTTGGTTTTGCACTGTTGACTCAGTCACAAAGGTGGCCCCACTCAATGGCTGCTGGTGATGAGTGTCCAGTCTTACCTCTAATTCTGGAGTGGCTTGACTGGCTACACAACGAGAGCCTTGCCCTTGATTACTTTCCCAGCCACCTAACCATTTGCTTGGTGGCTTCTTTTATTTTGGACCTTTTTTTTTCTATAATAAAGTTTAATTGGGGAGGAGGGTGGATTTAGCTCAGTGGGTGCCGCTGCCTGCCTTGCAAGCACAAAGTCCCAAGTTCGATCCCTGGCACCAAAAAAAAAAAGTTTAATTTATAAATTAGGTATAGTAAGATTAGCAACAGTAAAATGGAACAATTATAACAGTATGCTGTACTGTGCATTGTGGTGCACACCTGTAATCCCAGCACTTGGGAGGCTGAAGTAGGATTGCTGTGAGTTCGAGGCCAGCCTGAATTACACTACAAAGTGGGACTCTATCAGGAAAAAAAAAATTGTGTGCATGTGTGTAAGTGGCAAGTTACCCAAACACAAGCATTTCAGTACTGCCACAGTCAGTCACCCTAACGGACCCAGTAACTAATGGGTTGGTAAGTGTATGCTGTGTGGATATACTGGAAAAAGTGTGGTGATTGAGACTGATCAAGATTACGTCAAAATACCCTGCAATTTTAAATTTATGGATTATTTCTGGAATTTTTCATTTATTATTTTCAGACTGCAGGGAACTGAAATCACAAAGTGAAATTGGATAAGAGAGGACTGTTGTGTCTATTTCTAGAAAATTATTAGCAACAAATGGTGTTATCATTTTGGATTTTCTGGGGTGTTTTTGTTTTTGGTACTGAGGATCAAACTAAGGACCTTGCAGGCACGGTGCCACTGAGCTAACTCCCTGGCCCAGTGTTACTATTTTTGAATAGCACTTGAAGCGGTTGTTGAAGTCTTATTGTCTTCCCTTTTTTTGTTTTTGTTTTTTTGGTAGTACAGGGGACTGAACCCCAGGCCTTTGCCCTGAGCTACATCCCCAGCCCATTTTTACAGTTTTTAAAATTTCAAGACAGAGCCTCACTAAGCACTAAGCCCAGGCTGGGCTTGAGCCCACTGTCCTCCTGCCATAACTTCCTAGAGTACTGTGGACCACAGGTTACACCACCATGCCTCATCTTCACTTTTTCTCTTGTTTTGTTGTTTTGTTGTTGTTGTTGGTGGTGTTGGTGTTGGTGGTGGTGGTGGTGGTGTGTGTGTGTGTTTTATTTTGTTGGTACATTTTAGATATACGTAATGATAACAGGAAATTGTACCTGTACATTATATATTTTGCTGCTTTTTTTCCCCATTCCCCTCCTTTCCCTTCAAACCTCCCCCACCTTATTTATAAAAGCTTTGTTTCCATTTTTTTCCTTTTCTTGTTTTTTTTCTTTCTCTTCTTTTTTTTTTCTCAAACTGCCCCACCCAGTTCTTCTTTTCCTTTGAATATTTTCTTCCTGTTTGACAATATCTGTTAAACATTTTGGTCCTCATGTACACTTTCAGTTTCTCACATCAGAGGAACAATTTAACATGTATGTCTTATTTATTTAACTTAAAAGTATGGTCTCAGTGTGCATCCATTTAGCCAGAAATGTCTCTAGTTTATGTTTCTTTGTGGCTGAATAGTAGTCCATTTTATTTAAAAAAAAATAGTCTTCTTTATCCAATCACCATTTGATAGGCATTTGGGCTGTTTTAAAGATTTAGCTATTACAAATTCTGCTGCTATAAACGCAGGTGTATACAGTGTACACATATCACTGTGGTAAGATTTAGTTTGTTTGTTTGTTTGTTTGGTACTGGCGATCGAACTCAGGACCTTGTGCTTGTGAGGCAAGTGTGGTGCCATTGAGCTAAACTCCAGCCCGGTATGATTTAGTTTTTTGAGGAATCTCCACTGATGTTCCCAGTGGTTGCACCAGTCTATACTCCCACCAATAATGGAGAAAGATTCCTTTTCCCCCACAGCCCCACCAGCATTTATTATTGGCAATGAGGTGGAGCAATCCATTAGTCAACCACTTGGACTCCTTGAAGTGGTAACAATGGAGGTACCAAAACAGAGGAAAGAGGCTCTGGAAAAATCAAATCAGAAATTAATTCTCAGATAACTACAGAGATAATGACCATAAGGAAAGACATGCTTAGTAACTCAAGAGCAGATACAGATTAAAAAAAAAAAAAAATAGAGGAGCTGAAGAAATGATGAATACCCAGCATAGGAAAGAAATGGAACACATGAAACACATTCAGGCAGTTATCTAAGGAATTAAAATTTTCCATTGAAAGTTTCCACAGCTGAATAAGTGAATATGAGGACAGAATTTCAGATACAGAAGACAGGACTATGGTTAGTGAACATGAAAAGAAATATTTTTTAAAAAATACCAAGGGACCATGAGAAATCAATCCAACAGCTACTAAATGATGTAAAAAGAATAAAAGATTGATGGGAGTCAGTGATGGAATAAGAGCACAAAAGACTATAAATAAACTATTCAGAAGTAATTGCAGAAAACTTCCCAAACAGGGAAAGAGAATTTGACATGCAGATAAGTGAGGCATATAGAACTCAAATTAGCTGTGATAAAAAAAAAAATCCACACCTAAGCATGTGATAGGATTCCAACACACGGACAAAATATTGAAAGCTGTTAGAGAAAAGAAATATATCACATACAAAGGAAGCCCAATCAGAATCACAGCAGACTTCTCAACACAAAACCCTCAAGGAGAGTGTGGAGCAAAGTATTTCAAGCCCTAAAAGAAAACAACCTCCAACCCAGATTGATGTGTCCTGCAAAACTGTCTTTCAAAATTGAGGGAGAAATAAGATACTTTATGACAAAGAGCACCGAGGAACTTCACGAATACAAGCCAGCACTCCAAAATGTTCCTTTGGACCCATTTTTAAAGCAGAAACTGCGGAAAAGGGGAACTGAATTTCTAAAATAATTTCTGAAAATACGTAGTATCAGGCACTGTTGCTGACTTGCTAGCATCCTAGAAAAGAACCACCTCAGCAAACAGTTCATCTTATCTCCAGTCTGTTGCTAATCATATGTCTCCTTAATTGCAGATGACCTGAGAACCCTGTGCTCCAGGCTGCCTCATAACAAGTAGGTGCCTTGTTTGCTGGCATTGCTGGGACAGGGTGTCGGGAGGCAAAACACAGCCAACCCCTTTGTCCTGGGTTCCGTAGGGTGAGTTGTGCTGCAGGGTTCAGAGCTTCTTTGTAAGGAGCCCTTTGGGACCTGATGATAAGTGGGAGCAGAAACAACAGCTTCACCCACATGAGAAGAACCTTAAGTAGAGCATAAACATGGGCTAAGCGTCATGGGAAGAAACCAGAGCCCACCTCACTCAGTCTGCTTCTGTTTGGTGGGAGGGCAGATGCTGGTGACACTGAAATTACACTCTTGGGGAAAGACTGCACAGCCACCAACCCAGAGCACAGGGTGTCGGTTACATGGGGGCTTGGGTTTCTGAGTGATGCTCTGTGTGGTTTGCGGTGACCTCGAGCAGTCTTTTCACCTGCCTGTGAGCCTCAGTTTTCCCCTTGTAAAAAGGGGGACAGGTACTGTTGCTGCCTCCCATGGTGGAATGAAAGAGTTGGTGTTTGTAAACTTCCTGTCGTCATCCCTACCACATGGAATCTTTTCCATAGCCTCAGTTGTGCTCTGGAAAGCAGGAATAGGGTTGCACACTGCTGCTTCCTGTCCTTGTAACCTTGGGCAAGTTCCTTGTCTCCTGTCACCTGTTTTCTCATCTCAAAAAAATCATAGTTCCTGCCTCAGGTTTCCCTTGCCTTGCTACACCATAGGGCTTTGTGAAGACTGAGTGAAAACCCAGAAAGTTCAATCCTCAGTACCACAAAAAACAGAAAGCTTTTGGAGCAGTACTTGGGGTACGGTATTAGCAAGTGTTAGCTGCTGTCACCATTGCTGCTCCTGTAATAACTTAGGATTTTCACTTCTGTGAATCTGTTCTTGGCAAAGAAGCCAGAAAGTATGTGCACAAAAATGTCTCATACAAATGCAATCTTGTAAGCAGTAGACACCTGAAAACAGCTTAACCAGAGCACAAGGAGAATTGGTGAATTAGCCCCATGATTCCTCAAAGGGTCGAACATTATATATCCACTAAAAATAGTCATTGAGGCAGCTGTGCAAGGATATGTTTATAGTTGAAGGCAGAACTGGGCAATTGGTAGGATTTTTAGTGTTCTTTCCCAACTCAGGTTGGTCCTTAACGAGGAGGCACAGGGCTCGAAGATTGGCTCTTGGCAGGTAGTGTGGATCAGGAAGTAGGGCAGCAGTAGCTGGACTGTGACTGTCATGGCCCCCCGGGCCTGGTCCCCTGGTTTTGTCAAGCCAATGAATCTTGAGTTTCTTTTTTCTTTTTTTTTTGTGGGGGGGTGTTTTTTTTTCAGTGGGTCCTGGGGATCAAACTCGGGCTTTTGTGCTTGCAAGGCAGGCAGTGGAACCATTGAGCCAAATCCCTGGCACTTCAAGCCAGTGAATCTGAACAGGAGCTCATTGAGACAGAAATGTGCAGAACTAGAGGCTGGGGCTGAGCTAGATGTGGAGGAAGGGCAGGTTTATTCCATGTTCAGGGACCCTGTTGTCCAGCCTTACTGATAGGATCTTCCGGTGAAATGGAAGTCTGTGGGGCGGGGCAGTGCTTGCTATGTTCCACACAGCAGGGTCATGCTGTCCCAGGCCAGCTCTCCTCCAGGAGACCCCCTGCTCTTTTTCTTCTGAGCCCCAAGAAAATTCCTTGGAATTTCACTCAACAATACTTTGAATTCTGGTGGTCTCTTTGGTATTACTCAACTTCCCAACTAGACTGAAAATACTTTCAATAGTGTCTCTGACAGGATGTGTAGGTTCAAACAGAAAATCTTCATTTTGTCTCTGTGGTACTGCTTGGGTTGGTTAAATTTTTTATCAAGTTTCTTACCAAGTGTCATAAAAAAGTAAATATAAGTGAAAGGAAGGTGCTACTGACCCCGTGCCTGAGGCCCACCTGAAGGTTTGGAGCCCCTTTGTGCCGGAGCTAGGTGGGTAGGGGTCAACTGTGATCAGCCAGCCCCTTCCCCTGGGAGAACTGGCCAGTGGCCAGAGAGCTGGCAGTCCACCTGGAGGACAGGCTATCACAAGATACAGCAGCATCACTCTGGCAGTGTGTTGGGGAGGTGCATTGTCACAGGATGAGGGGCAGAGGGAGAACCAGACCTGGCAGCCTTCATGTGGTAATAGGAGAGACTGGCATGGACCCTCCAGACCAGCAAGGCTCAGATTAAAGTAAGCAGTGCCCATTTGTCAGCCGCAGAGTGGGAGGCCAGGGACAAGTTGGGGAAGGAGGCCTGTGTCCTCAGCATGAAGAGCAGTTTCTGATGGGGAACAGCCTTGGGGAGTCAATTGAGGCTACATGAGGAGAGCTGAAAGTGGTAAGTGATGCTGGGAAATTCTGCTGATCATCCTAGAAGGCCTGGAGCACAGAGGAGAAACCCTATGTGGAATCTCAGAAGGATCCAGTGAACTGGACACAGTAGTCCAAGCCTGTAATCCCAGCACTCTGGCAAACTGCAGCAAGAGGATTGCAAGTTTGAGCCCAGCCTGTGTGATTTAGACACTCTCAAAAATAACAAATGGCTTAAATAATAGTAATAATAATAAATTTTAAAGTGAAAAGGGCTGGGAATGTATCTTGGTGTAAACCCTGTGGGTTCGATCCCCAGGACCACCAGAAAAAGGGAAGGGAAGGGACAGGCAGCTGGGCAGGGTGTTTGCAGATAGTAGGGGTCTAGGCTGCCAGTGGGGCAGGTGTTCAGGGAGACCTGGGGCCAGGCCTGGTGGGGAAGCTGTAGTGCTGGTGTAGGGGAGCATGTGAGCCAGATGGGCTACAGCTCTGCAGGTTGGGGGCAGTGGGCTCTGTAATCAGGGGGGCTGGTATCAACGTATAAACTGTCAAGGGAGTGCTGTGCTGGACTCTTCAGGCTTATTTGAAAAGCTGGCTTTAAAGGTATTGATGATACTTGAATTTACTTAAAATGCAGTTATTAAGAATGACTTTGAGAGCTGGGCATGGTGCCATTGGGTCTGTAATCCCAGCACTCAGGAGGTTGAGGAGTTCCCATGTGTCCCACAACCTGCAGTGTAGACTCCACTCCACAAGTCACTGCTGGGTTCCTGGCTTTCCCCCTGTTGGTGCCTCCTCTGGCTAAATCTTGCAACCCTGGGTCATCTGCTGATCTGTTCCCCACCCAGTAGCTCCCTCCCTCCTCTTTGCTCAGTAATGTCCAGCTGCCTGGAAGCCCGTGTGACGAGGCGTCTCCATGTCCTGGTAACAGATGCAGAGGAACAGAGCAGACCCCAAAGCATGAATGCTGCAGGACAAGGTTGTGACCCTGGTGATCCTAATGTTTCTCCTTGTTTCTGCAGCCTGCTCCAGCTAGTGATCTCCGGCCCAGTGCAGCAGTCACCACACACAGCACTCCCCCCTGGATTCTACCCTCACATCCACACGCCCCCACTGGGCTATGGGGCCGTACCAGCCCATCCTGCTGCCCACCCCGCCCTGCCCACGCATCCTGGGCACACCTTCATCTCCAGTGTGACGTTTCCATTCAGGCCAATCCGCTAGGCCAGCCTGTAGTGAGCTGTCTCGCGGCCATGTGCCTTCTGCACCCGGGTTGAGGGAACCTTCTGGAGAGAAGGGTGCTGGCCCCCCAGAAGAGGAGCAGGTGGCCCCTCCTGGCTGGCAGAATCATCTTCGTTTGAAGTTCCAAGTTGTCACAGTCCAGGTACCTGCCTGGTCACATTCTTAAAAATCCAGATTGGATGGATGAAAGGAAAACACACAGCCCTCTGCAGGGTGCACTGCGAGTGTTTTTAATATGCTGGTTCTGCAGGCCCTGGCTCACCTGCCATCATTTAGACGAATCCTCAGAGCCTGTGCCCAGAGGAGCACTGAGGAGAAGTGTGCGTCCGTCTGCTCGGCCTCTCCTATGAATGTGACATGCCCCTGCCACAGTTACCGGCTCCTTTTGCAGCTCCGTGAGCTCAGAGTGCAAATGGTGTGACCCAAGCTCAGGCAGCACCGGTCGCCGCTCACAGACATCTGTCAGAGTTTCCTGTTACCTTGTAAAGGAACTTCTGTTTTATCGGGCCTCTCTAAATTTTCCTTTCATATGTTCAAATAAAATTTTTCTAAACAGTTTTATAGACTTCATGGGGGAAAAAAATTTTTTTTCAGGAGTGGAGATTGAACCTCACACCAAGCAAGTGCTGTGCCACTGAGCCACAGCCCAGCCTAGTGGGATGTATTTTAACAGTGTAATAAAGTTGAACTGTGGGGTTTCCTCCCCCGTCAACAATGATTACATTAAGAAAGTTGAATGTAAGTTTTTAATCTACTTTTGAAAGAAGCACTGTAGTGTCCCAACCCTGGCCCCCACCCAGCCTCTGGGCTCTGCTGTCACTTAGCTCTCTACCACTGTGTTGCTTCTAGTCCATGTTTTTTCTTCTCTCAGGTAAAAATATAGCCGTTGGGATTTTTAAAAATCTTATTGAGTTTATTGGTACCTTTTAAGTATACAGTACAGTTATATTCATCATTGGAATCTTGTACCCTTACATGACAGATCTTGGTTCTCATTTTTTCCCCATACCCCTGCCCTCCCTTCACCACCTCCACCCTCTCCTATTTACAGAGACTGTGTTTCCATTTTTTCCTCTTCTTATATTTTTTCTGATTTTTTTTTTCCTTTCTTTTTTTGAGACAGAGTCTTGCTGTGTAGTTATGGCTCCTCTTGTACTTAGCCCAGGCTAGCCTTGAACTCAGTGAACCTCCTGCCTCTGCCTCCCAAGTGCTGAGTTTATAGGCACCACACCACTCTTGGCTTTCAGTGGTTTTTTGTTTTGTTCTGTTTTGTTTTTTTTCTAGTATGCTGTTGGAAACTTAACTGCTTTGAGTTCTCATTAATTTGAGGAAGAAGGAAAGCTCAGCGACCATGTCAATATGGCTTCCCTAGCTTAAAAGTGAGAAGTGCAGTTGGTAACAGCAAACAGAGAATGAGAGGGCTAAAATTACCTTGTAGGAAAGGAATTAATCTTTTCGTTTATTTACCCTTCTATTCCTGGTTGAAGGCCATGTCCTGGAACACCAGACCAAACCCAGTAGCCTTGCAGAGTCCCGGGAGAGAGAGAGAGGGAGAGGGAGAGGGGGAGGGAGAGAGGGAGAGGAGCTGAGACCTTGCATATTAGGGCCGTCTTCACTTGGCAGCAACCATGTGTTCTTGCTCAGGGACAAGATCCCACAGCTTTCCCAGCCCCTGGAGTGGCAGCCACAGCCGGGGCAAAGGAACTGGCCTACAAGGTGAAGTTCTTCAGGAATCATTTTAAATTGCATTAAAGGGCCATGGACATAAAGGACCTTTTGAGTTTGATTTGATTATTTCTGATTAAACATGCTTTAAGTAAAACCTGCTAATGTCAGATCCCAAACTGCAGGAGAATGTGTGTGTCTATTTCAGTGGGACACTTTTGAAGAGGCTGAAAAGATCAGCACCCCGGCCAGTTCTTGGTACTTTACTCCTGTACAAAGTGTTTCAGAAAGAACTACAAATCAGCTCAATGTTACTTTCTTTTTCCTGTTTATCTCTGATCTGTGCAGTCTCCACCAAATGTTTCTAGGAGTTGGATGTATTTTAAATCCTCTCAGATCCAGGATTTTTTTTTTTTTTGATACTGAGGATCGAACTGAGGACCCCCCCACCCCCGCTTGCGAGGCGGGTGATGGTACCATTGAGCTAAACCCCTTGGCCCTGGTTCTTGCCAAAATAAAAAATGGAAAGAAAGCCACTAGCCAGGCAAGGTGGTACACACCTATAATCTTGACACTGGGAGAGTGAGGCAGGATGATCATGAGTTCAAGGCTAGCCTGGGTTATAGCAAGATTTTTGTCTCAAAATACTAGAGCCACAGAGTTCCTTTGGTGTCATTCTTTTTTTGTTTTTGTTTTTTGAGACAAGGTCTCTAGTGACATTCTTAACAGTCATTAAATCAACCTACTAAAAATGGAGGTGGAGGCTGAGTGTTCTCACATTCTCCATCTTGTCCTTATTAATGAAAATGGTACTTCCTATCTAGTAATTATTATGTGCCAGGCAGTTAAGGGTTTTACCTAACATTAAAATTAATATATGAGAAAATATTTGCAATATATAAAATAGTGTATCTATAGAACATATGAATACACATTAAAAGGCATTGAAGATGAAAGAAATGAATAGAAAAAAATGGCTAATAAATATGGACAGACTGGTAACCAGGGGAGTGTAGATTATAGGTTTTTCACTGCCTAGAGGTATACAGCAATGTCAAGTGGCAAACTGGTTTATCCACTCTTGAGAAATTAATAAAATGGCCTTGTGACCCAGCAACTCCAAAAACAAGGATATTCAGTGATAATTTGCTACAGTGTTTGTTTTTAAGAAGCAATTTTAGTGAGCTATAATTTACATACCTAGTTGACTGATTACAGGTACAGGTATTCTGGAAGGCTGAGGCAGGAGTTTCATAAGCCCAGCCTGGGCAAGTTAGCAACATTGTGGGACCCTGTCTTAAAAAAAAAATTTTTTTATTTTTTGGTACCAGGGATCAAACGTCAAAAAAATTTTTTAAAAGGATGTAGCTCAGTGTGAAGGTCCTTGGTTCAACCCAAAAATAATAAAATGTAAAATTCAGTGGTTTTTAGTATATTTATGCAGTGGTATAATCATCACCACTATATTAGAACCTTTCATCATCTCCAAAAGAAACCCTGCCTATAAGGAGTCACTAACTTGATTCCTAAGACTTGGGCAACCACTGGTCTACTTTCTGTCTATGCATTCATCTTTGCTGGGAATTTCATACAAATAGAATCACACAATACATGTGATTGGCATATTTTATGTCATAGCACAAGTCAGCACTTCCTTGTTAGAGCTGAACAATCCATTACCAATACCACATTTTATCCATTTATCAGTTACCTCAAAAAACCCCCCAACATAAAGAATGGCGGGAGAAAGGAAAAGGGATGTTTCCACCTTTGGGCTCTTTTTGAATATTGTTTATGTGTAAGTTGTGTGGAGATGTTTCCAATTTCCTTGGGAAAAAATATACAAAATTGCACAGGGTATTTTTTTTTTTAATAAGGAAAATCCAAATATGGCATAAGTAGCCATCCGCAGGGACCTGGCCAACTAGTTGTGAGCTCATGGGTCCTTAGGGATCAGACTGGTGATGTCAGTGGGTAATGCTGCCAGGATTAGACTCCAACAAAGACTGGGTACTCAGCTAAGCAGAACAAATTGCTGATCGATGCCATCTGCAGGCACCTGGGCCAGAATGAATGTTGCCAAGACTATAAGTTATCAAGGGGTGAAAAATCAGTTTTTAAAATTCTGTATTTTCTTAAAACAACAACCAAAAAACAAAAAAACAAAACAAAACAAAAAAACCCAAAATACCTTTCGAAGTGTGGCGTTCAAAATCAAGATAGTCAAGCCAGGTGTGGTGGCGCTTGCCTGTGGTCCCAGCACTTGGGAGCCTGAGGCAGGAAAATAGCTGTGAGTTCAAGGCCAGCCTAAAAGACTCAAAAAATCATCAACAACAACAAAAACAGACAAAAAAAGTCAATATAGTGATGGAGAGTGGCTTATAATGTAAATGTCATGCCAGGATTTATTGCTACATAAAACACGCTCGTGCACACACACACACACACACACACACACACACACGGACTATTGGGCTTGGTTCCTCAACTACAGATTTGCCTTTCCTGTCTTCCCTTTCTTCATTATTTATTCTCTCCCTTCTTCTTTCCCTCCCTCCCTCCATTCTTTTTATTTTGGGTTTGTTTTTTTGGTTTTTTTTAGATAAGTCCTTGCTATGTAAGTTCAGTCTGGCCTCAAACTTGATGTGAGCCTCCTGCCTCAGCCTCCCAAGTGCTGGGGTTATACGCATGTGGCACCACACCTGGTCAAATTTATTTTATTGACTGAAGTGATGGAGATAAGGTCCAGGGCCTTGCCATTGCTAGGCAACTGCACTACACTGAGCTATATCCTAACGCTTCCTTCTTTTTAGATATGCGCTCACTGTGTAGCTCAGCCTGGCCTCTAACTTGCTATC